CTTCATCTCAGCATATTTGAGCTGCTCCATGTGGAACGCCTGACGCTCGGTGAGCAGCTGCTGCCGCTGAAGCTCCAGCTGCAGAGAGATGGCCAAAACATTAATGAGGAGATTTGTTATAATCAACACCAAGAACAACTGGCAGCCCATTCTGATGAGAGAACATGGGTGAGTTGGTAAAAGGGTCACTGTTGGTTCCACCGTTACTTTCAGTGATTACAGGAACACCCATTTCCTTTGGCTCTGTAACCAAGGACAATCTTATAAGGTAGGGTGAAATTTTATCAAATGGCGATGTGCCGTTTGTTCCATTTGCCAGGACCTCCATTTAATGTTGTCATGCACTAAAGACATTATATGCATGTTATATTTTAATGAAAAGTGTTGGTGTTTCCTGCAGCTACTGAGAAACTGAACCATTTGTGTACTCAATTAACTTTATTATGAACACTCAAAGGGTCAGCTGACCAAAACTGCACACCAATATACAGTCAGGTCCATAAATATTGGGACATCGACACAATTCTAACATTTTTGGTTCTATACACCACCACAATGGATGCAAGCCATCATTAGGCTGAAAAAAACAAAACAAACCCATCAGAGAGATAGCGCATTTGGCTGAATATGAGCAGATAATATTGCCCGAAACACTTCAGAATTCATCCTGCTGCTTTTGTCAGCAGTCACATCATCAATAAATACAAGAGAACCAGTTCCATTGGCAGCCATACATGCCCACGCCATGACACTACCACCACCATGCTTCACTGATGACGTGGTATGCTTAGGATCATGAGCAGTTCCTTTCCTTCTCCATACTCTTCTCTTCCCATCACTCTGGTACAAGTTGATCTTGGTCTCATCTGTCCATAGGATGTTGTTCCAGAACTGTGAAGGCTTTTTTAGATGTCGTTTGGCAAACTCTAATCTGGCCTTCCTGTTTTTGGGGCTCACCAATGGTTTACATCTTGTGGTGAACCCTCTGTATTCACTCTGGTGAAGTCTTCTCTTGATTGTTGACTTTGACACACATACACCTACCTCCTGGAGAGTGTTCTTGATCTGGCCAACTGTTGTGAAGGGTGTTTTCTTCACCAGGGAAAGAATTCTTCGGTCATCCACCACAGTTGTTTTCCGTGGTCTTCCGGGTCTTTTGGTGTTGCTGAGCTCACCGGTGCGTTCCTTCTTTTTAAGAATGTTCCAAACAGTTGTTTTGGCCACGTCTAATGTTTTTGCTATCTCTCTGATGGGTTTGTTTTGTTTTTTCAGCCTAATGATGGCTTGCTTCACTGATAGTGACAGCTCTTTGGATCTCATCTTGAGAGTTGACAGCAACAGATTCCAAATGCAAATAGCACACTTGAAATGAACTCTGGACCTTTTATCTGCTCATTGTAATTGGGATGAGGGAATAACACACACCTGGCCATGGAACAGCTGAGAAGCCAATTGTCCCATTACTTTTGGTCCCTTAACAAGTGGGAGGCACATATGCAAACTGTTGTAATTCCTACACCGTTCACCTGATTTGGATGTAAATACCCTCAAATTAAAGCTGACAGTCTGCAGTTAAAGCACATCTTGTTCGTTTCATTTCAAATCCATTGTGGTGGTGTATAGAGCCAAAAATGTTAGAATTGTGTCGATGTCCCAATATTTATGGACCTGACTGTACATTATTTTCCACTTAGACTAGTGGCTTTTAACCATAAAGATAGTTTTAGTTTGCGTACTCAGGGTTTGAGATGAATTGATAATTGGCTGCAAAAAAAAAAGCTTCCACTTCATCCATCTGGCAGGACTTTGGGTTTGAACCTAATAAAAGGCGACAGTGATATGCAGGATTTGTTCTTATGTAATCTAATGTAGAAGATGGACAGACGATGAATCCTCATGACCATTTAAGTGTTTTGTACCAGTAGGCTAAATCCCACTATGGGTAAGTAATCTCTGGGAACTCAAGCCAAAAAGATTCTTACACTGGCATCCAAGTATTTCTCTATGACAAAAGAACAAGTGCAGCAAGTTTGCCTGTAGACTCGGTGTAAAACTGCACTGTGTTTACTTGATGTTCTGTGTAGATCTTTTTTCTATGCTCAGTGTTTTATAGCATATGGTACTGCCAGAGGTTTGGCCTTTCTAGCCTTCACTAAGCTTATATAAACCTTTTCATGCACCATTTTCAGTTGCAGAATTGTGCTACGCTTTCAATGCCTCCACCACGCAAACACAGTTTTACACCCACTTGAGTCTCCAGGGATTGTTCAGGGGCAGGACACACACACCCACACACAGAGCTGAGGGCCGTTCCTTTGCCCTATAGAGGCAGGTAACGGTTTCAAACCCTTTAGTCTGAGCAGTGGTCTATTTGCAATTCATCTGCGGAGGATTTGAATCAAGCGGGAAGCAACTTGTTCAGTAACCAACACTGGCAGATGGACTTCTAGTATTTACTGGCCCTTTATTTCAATTTAGCAGTTACAGAAGTAGGACTGTGTGATACCATCCTTCACCTTTAGTTTTTGCACTCTGTGTTGTAGATTTTAAATCAATAGAACTTTCAAGATCATCCAGAAAGCACGTCTTTTTGACTTACAGCCTCTTTCTCTCGGTCCATGATAGTCTCGAGCTCCTCGAAATGCCTCAGCTTGATCTCCAGCTTCTTCATCTGGGTCTCCACCAGCAGAGCAACCAGGGACTTGATCTTCCTCTCCTCCACCGCTGCCAAGTGCTGAAGAGAAGGAAATAGGAAAAGAGAAACAGGCAGATCGATGATAAATATCTGAGTGATTAACATATCATTCAAAGAAATGTTTGCTGAAGTTCAGCTCATTCTGGAGTTATTCTGTCATCAAAACCTGGTTCACTTTGTTGGTGTTCCTTTAAACATTTTACAGAATGCCTGTCAACAATCCCCATGTTATTACACACACATTAAGCAGTGAGGTACGAAGAAAAGAGCACAGAACATGAACAAAAGCATGATGAAAAACTTTCAGCTCCTTCATGTCCACTAACATTATCATCTACTAAAACACAATACCTGGAAAAAACCAACTGTGTCAAACCATTTACTGATAGAACCATGTTTTAAATGACAGCCTAGGTGTGTGTGTGTTTGCTATGGTTTAGTCAGCTGTCCTGCACTCTCACCTTGGCCTTGGTGGCTGCAGATGCCAGAGCAGCAGCGGCTGCAGTGGCAATGTTTCCCTCTCCGATGTCATGCTCCAGCTTCTTCCTCTTGTCCTCTCCCTCCTCTGTAGCTGCCTTCTCTTCTTTATCCTTCTCCTGCTCTGAGGATGATGTCTCCATAGTCTCCTCTCTGTCCTTGTCTGATGGGGGTGGAGATTCAACAGCTGTGCAATGTCTTCATTGAACAATGTTCTACTGCACTCTTGTATATTTTGTATGTTTGTATTTTAAAGGACAAGAGCACTGAATAAAACAGGCCTATTACAGGAGCGGTTTCTACACAGTCTAAAATTTGCAGCTACATTTAGCAATTAACTTCTGAAGCTGAGAAGATTAATCAATTACTCTTTTAGCTGCTTAATAATCAACAGCTCCTGAGATAATTTATTAGGTAGTTATTCAAGGATTTGCTGCCTTCTGTGTAAACCAAATATCTTTGTGGTGTGGACTGTTCATTGGAGCTCTGCAATTTGATGACATCATCTTAGTGTTAGGGAAATTCTATAGCCTAAAAGGAAAACTGATTAATCACCAAAATTATTGGTTCGATATTGAAAGCAGTAGTTTGTTGCATCCTTAATTACAAGTCAAATGCTAATGAAATGTTCTAGTTGTGAGCTTATATTTTGTCATGAGTCTCAGTGTTACCTGCTGGAGCTGACTTGGCCTCCCCTCCCTCTTCGTTCTCCTCCTCACGCTCTGACGCATCCGTCCCCTCCTTCTTCACCTTTTCTGTGGCCTCTGTCTTGTCGCCTTTCTCTGCAGACTCACTGGGCTTCTCTGCATCATCCTTTGACTCCACCTGAAGTAAGAACACAAAGACAAACAAGGTTAAGTGGCCCGTGTCAATGCCAGAGAAAACACCAACTAGCCTTGTTACAAGTCAGACTTTAAGATACGACTTTAGACTGTGTCTAAGAAAAAAAAACGTGATTGAATGAAGCAAGCTACTCAAGAAAAAGGAATGTTTTATAAACCACAACTAATGTATCAACAAACAAGGAAAGTAAATGTGGCTGATTAGCTGTTAATGCAGTAATTCTCAGATCAAATGAAATAATGGGTTGTATTGGGTTGCATTTTGGGATCAATCACTGACTGGACACAGCGTCCGACATTGTTTAATGGATGTTAATAAGGAAGCCATCAGCTGCCCAGCAGAGTGGGGTCAATGAGGATGTAAATGCCATTAAATTCACCACTGGATGTTTCCAAGAGACATGGAACAAATGTAGTTAGGTGGAAAGATAAATGTTAAATGCCACGAGTGAGAGGACAAAGTGTTGGAGAAAAAAAATATACAGAAATGAGTAGTAATGGCATTTCCGACTAAAAAGTAGGACTGCAGCCAACTAAGGATGTAGTCACTTGACTCTTCAGTGTGATTATTCAACAATGTGTTTTATAAAAATCAACTAGCATGATTTCAAACAGATTAACATCGGTATTTAAATACAAAAGAGTAACAGAAACATATTTCGGAGAATTTAAAAGTCAGTAAAACACAGCTGCATATGATGCAACAGTTAAATTGCGCCCTATTTAAATTGACAATATATAATGTTGAGCTGCCATATGGATATTTCAGAATAACAAGACAGGTAGCACACGTGTATTCCTGTTGAAACAATGCTCTTACAAGAAGTTTTTTTCTTCTGAGATATGGTTATAGCCTAGTTTACCAACAGGTTTGAGCTTCTCCCCTCAGTTAACCACAGTGCATGTTGTTACTGTGCGTTTGATGTGCAACAGCTTGGACTATGAATAATTCCTCTTATTTATAATTCCTTATTGAAACGTTTTTCCCCACACATTTTGTTAGCTTCCTAGTCCCATTCAGATGGATGCATGCCGTCGGTAAACGGCTGTGCCTTGCACTTTAATGGAGACAAATCGGACTCGCATAATGGTAGACCACGTAAAACCAGCCACAGCAGCAGCATGCTATGGTTGCTGCCCTCATCTTCTGAGTGGGAACCAAGTTGTCACTAACAATAACAGCTTTATACCTTTCTTTTGCAAATACAAAGTGCAGTTTTTTTTTTTAATCACATGTAGGATGCAAAAGTGTTTACAGTATAAAATGGGTTTTACCTTATCGGCCTGCTGGGATTCTGTGTCCGTGTCCATCTTCTCTGGCTCCGTGGTTTCTGCAAGTGACAATTATGACAAAAAATAAATTACATCATTTTACAGGGTAATCTGATCAGGGTGGTCACAGATTGCTGTGATGTGGGCTGCATTTTTTTATTTGAACTAATTCTCTCCTGAACCGATTATGCTGCAAAAGTACAAAAAGACAAACAAGAAACAAGATACATGCATAAACAATGTTTCAGTGAAATGAGCAAGTACAAAACTTTCAACACTGATACAAGTAACAGCTTGAACTGCAACAGCGCCATCATATTTATAATAGAAGACATTTTTTGATTCTCTAAAGGTACACACCATTAAAAATAAAAATGAGTGAGGGAAAGAAGTCTGGAACAGAAATTAAGCTCAAAAGCATCTTAAAGTAACAGACCCACAGAGAAGGGTGAGGAGTAAGTGCAAAGTTTGCACAAACTCACAAATGACCAAACATGCAGACATGTAACTGGTTGAATACATGTGTACAGTGAATGCTAAACCATGCCACAGGTGTACCTGAACATGTGTTAAGGGTTAAAATATTGACTGTGTAATGTGTGTGTGTCAGATGGGAGGCTTCAGGCCATGCAAGGTGCTGAACACAATTATCAATTGCAACTTTAGCTCTAGGTGGCACAAATTCAGGTATAATAAATGACTGGTATTTTGTGTGTGTGTATGTGTGTGTGTGTGTGTGTGTGTCTGTTTGAGTGAAGAGTGAGCAGAAGTTAAAGACATTTTAAAGAAAGCAGAGCAAAAGGAAGAGAAAGAAACAAGCACATGTCAGAGTGGTGACCCAGTTTTCCACCTCCCCCTCCTCCTACTCCCCTGACCCATCTGTCACTGTTGTTTTAATCCATTGGTTTCCATGGCAGAGCGCACATACACAAACCAATACTTCTATATTGAACATATTTTACCAGCTGCTAAAAAATGCACACTGTCTTTTAATGCCAAAACAGACTGATCATAGCTGCTGCATATTCAGATGAAGCAAAATAGCCATTTGAAGAAAAACCAAGGAGGTCAGTACAGAGCAATCTGTTGACAAACCACTTGCCCCTTGGCCTTAATAAATACACACACAAACAGCAATAATCTGCATCAAAGTTGCCTCTAGGCTTGTGATAATGCTGCCCTCCAGTGGCTGCAAACATTACAACAGCCTACAACCACAAATCAGATACACGTCCCTTTTTTCAACAAAATTCTGCTTCAAGTTTTACAAATGTTTACACTTGCATTCACTAATTACTGACTTTTCAGGGTGGTCAGGAATTCTTAACCAGCGACATGACATGTTACTCACCAGGCTTTTCTGGCTCCTCGGGAGCAGTGCCAGCAATGCCGCTGCTCTCCAGGCCGAAGGCAGGGTCCACCTTTCCTGTGCTCCTGGCTGCCTCCTGAACCTTCTTCACATGAGCCTCCACCAGCTCCGCTGGGACCTCCTCACGTACTCGAGAAAACTCCTCTGCAGACAGAGAGGACATCCATTAATTTTCAGTTCAAATCTGACATTAACCTGACACTAAAAGGTCTTTATTACAGCATAATACTCTGAAACAAATCCTAACAAATAAACATGATAATACTGGCAATGGTGCATTACTGAAACATTTATTCTCATTTTTATCTTTTGCATGGGTTCATTACTTTATATATTCATTAGCTTGCATACCTTTTTAAATTTAGTTTTTCAGATACTTACCAATTCCTTGCATAATTTTTAGTTTAAGTTTACAGCCTTTAAATGTTTTTGGTGACTAACTTTTTTTTTTATTTGTCTCCTACCTATTGTGTGTGCGTGTTTATCTGGGTGACAAACTGGTGCAAACAGCTGCACTTACAGGGATGGATAAAGTTGTGTAGAACTGAATTACAGGACTACAAAATATTTTGGCTTCCCAAAGTTAGGCACTCATATTTGCACTCACTTGACCTATTTGTAAATACACACCCAAAGATGGTATAATTACAGAAGAACTGTAGCCCTGATATTTATTGTAAAAATGTTTTACCTAAGTAAAACTAGTCTATAAAATCCAACATCTCATTCACCGAACTTAAACAGGTTTCAACGAGGTGATGCTTCCTCCCCTCAGTTCTCACCTAGGGCTGCCTTGGCGGCAGCAGACGCCACTCTGGGGTCGACCACAGAAGCTAGGAAAGCTACTGTACTCATGACTGGGTTTCCAGACTGGCTGAAGGGGATGGGCTGGTAGGCCAATGGGCCCAGAGTGGCCTCGGTGCTCTCCAGGTATGGATCCTCAATAGGCAGACGCAAGAAGTGCAAGATGCATTCATCTTGGGTGCGTGAACCAACATGCTCCGATACTTTGTTCCAGTCGTCCTTGTACATCTCCAGGGCCTGTTAGCAAGAGAAGAATATATTTCATTAGTAATACCTCACAAATGTGAGCAGTACTCACAGAAGCATAAAGGATCCCAAAACCAGACAGACTGATGCATCATGAAGATAATGGATTGGAAGGAAAGAGGTGGAGGGTTGTGAATGGTGGAAGGGAGAGTAATTCAAAGTGGAACGACAGAGAAAGGAAAGATTTAAGAAAGGACAGGGATGATTTATGAAACCAGGAAAAGATGAAGAAAAAGGCTCACAGAAAGAGGAGGAATCAGGCAGACAAATGGGAACCAAATGAGGCGAAAACAGGAAGGGAATGAATAAGACCGATTCAGGGTGAAAGGCAGGTGATGTATGGGGAACATGTAAGAGGTGCAGTAACCAATTTATGTCTCTACCAGTGTTTTGACAGACAGAGGAAGAGACTGCGTTTTGGTGCTCAGCATCATCCCAGTATATGTGGGTTGCAAACGTGATTGTTATGACATGCGACACTCAGATGAGGGCAGGAAGTGAAAAGTTGTCCTGCGCACAGACATAATATAATGTGTGTCTATGGTCCTGTGGATTAACCTAGCAATAAGCATTCAACACACAGTGCCTCTCAACGTTAACGTTACGGTTGTTTACATAACATAGGTTGACCACTGTCAAAGGTCCAGTGACACACCACTAAAGACATTGGATGATAATCATAAAACAGGATGGAGAAGTCACTGCACCAAGGGAAACAGTGTTTAACAGGGGAGAAACGCACAAGCGAGGAGGAAACACTACCAGTGTTTTACGGTCAATTTCTAGCATTTCCTGCCCTTATGAACTACTACTTCTAGTACCCAATAAAAGCTTCACCTGCTTTGTCAGTGTGATTCAGTTGATCAACCGTAAATGACAGAAGACTAAGCCATTCTGACAGCTTGTGACAGTACTGCCTATGTAGAAAATCACTTCCTGTCCTCCATCTGCAGTTCACGCTGCAGCAGCACAGTGACGTGACGTCGACCAGTGAGACTCACCTCTAGCAGCAGCAGAGTCTCCTGCTCAGTCCATTCCCTGGTGGAGCCGGCCGCTTTACCCTGCAGAGACCCACAGCCAAATTATCAACTAAAGATAGGTAAAAGACAATAGCAAAGTGCATTAGCAGTATTTTAAGCCGGATCAGAAAAGATGCACTGATCAAAAAAGTGAAAAAGAAAAGTACCATGAGTTTTTAGAATTTTTGGTACTGCCAAAAAAATCACCTCACCAAATTGAGACACTTTAGAATTTTTGGTACTGCCAAAAAAAACACCTCACCAAATTGAGACACACAAAATCATAATATGAAATACACAACATGTTGAGCAAGTCGGATGCTGACCTTGGAGCTTTTCTTGTAGAGGTCAGCACGAAGGCCAAAGCTCTGCAGGTCAATGGGCTTGTCTTTGCCTTTGTCTGTGAAGTTGGGCATTGGCTGTGGAGGGGGAATCTGGAAGGACGAGAAACCATTAAGCAATAATGTTCACCCAGTACAGCTTCAGCGCCTTACAGTTGTGATACACATTCTTGTTTCTCCCACTCTGTTCAGACACAGCACTGCAGGAAAACAAGGCATTTTCCTCATTCGTTTGAATGAAAATGAACAGCTATTTCTGTAATTCATTAAAATCAAATATTCTTTGAGTCTTTTCAAATGGAGGAAAACTGTGTTTTTATTTGTTTACTATTGGACAAAAAAATAATTTACAGACCAAACAATTAAATGATAATGAAAGTAATCATCCGCCCTAGACGACTGCATTGGATGAACATTGGAGTTGGACCTGGAACAATTTTTGCAGCAACATGTTTCTACTGTTTGGCTGTAAAATAAACCATGTGCCATGTAGTGGTGTCTGATAAGTATTCACACTTACTAAACCATTACTCAGACCAGCCTTCCTGGATCATAGTTCATCTCACTGCTACATGAAAGAATGCACCCCTTTGCATTTTCATCATCACAGGATTGTTTTCCTCACTCCATAAGTTTAAGTGATCCTTACTGGTGTGGGTCGGTGGTTCAGGGGCATGAGACCAGAGGGTGTGTCAACCAGCACAGTGAAGTGTGGTGTGGGTGGAGGGCCCATGGGTAAGGGGCGGCTCTCTGAGTCAACCTGGTAGTTCACCAAACCCCACTGCTCCAAGAACGCATGAACCCTGAAGACAAACAGCATTCAGTTACCTTTATTTTATCCTCTTTTGAACATTTTCTGGTTTATTTTTATTTATTCATAAAAAATGTCAGCACTCATCGTCATAAGCTAAGGGGTTTTCCAGCAAGTGTTAAATTACCCACACTAATACAGTGACTTATTTTGTTTAAGCAGCATTTGCAGTATTCATGTATACATTTAGCCACCACAAATAGTTTTTCACTGTGCCACACCTTAACAGACAGCAGAGCCATCAAAAAAACACACATTCATGAAACTTAGCTCACCTCATGATGGCGCAGACATCCCCAGTCAAGTTCCTACGGCAAGAGGTGGAGGTGAGGTACTCCTGAGGGTTCAGCCGATATGTGTCGATCATGAAGTTCCGGTAGGCCAGGTATCTGGGTAAGAGTCGAGAAGAACCACAGAGAGATTAGCAGAAAACTTTGAGTCTGCAACATCACACTGTACACACATAAAACATGTCTAGTGGTAGCTGGTGTGTGCGTAAGCTCACATCTCTGGAGTTTTAGATTTGTTCTTTCCGTTGAAGAACTCAGGCAAGGCTCTTCTCTCAATCTCATGGATACTAGCAAGAAAAAAGAAAAATCAATGTGGGGACTCACCATTCAAAGTACTTAACACTGCACACAGATGGATAAACCAGTTCTTTTTCAAAAGACAGCAACTAATATACATTTTTCTAAGTTCTTATGACTGTTTTTCCACCTTTCGCTTTCTCTTGTAATGTAATAATATTTCTTTAGTAATGCATTTACCCCTGCTCTCCAGCTCTTACCAGTTGTAGTCAAACCAAGCAGCGTAGCTGGGGATGATGATGTGGTGAGTCTGTTCAGTCACGTTGTCCTCACCAGAGTCTATCAGTCGGCTGATTTCAGCTTTACCCTGGTCCTCATCATCCTGCAGACAAAAAGAGTGCAAGCACAACTGAGATACAAAGGTTTGTTCATCATAAACCTTAAAGGCCTAGTTATCTGGGCGATCCTAAAACAAAGATGTACAAGCACAAAGTTTTTAAAAGAACAAACAAGGGGAAGCTGATAAAAAAAAAAACACACACAAAAAACAAAACAAAAAAAAAACTTAAGTGATTAATTTTCATCATGATTAGTATGATGGCCATGACATACCTTCACGTTATCTATACCATTTTATACCCTAATTTGTTTAGCTAAAAATGTATTCAAATTGATTTAAAAAGACTGACTGATAATGAATAGAACCACTGGTAGCTGCCCTGAGAAGCCAGCAAAGGGTCAAGTAACACTACATCTCTCCCTTTCACCCAACAACTACAGGGTTTGGTTTGATAAAGACAGAATCATCAGTCATCTTACCTTTCCACCAGACAGCACAGAGTCATCCTCCATGTCATCTGGAAAAACAAAAACAGCTGAGATGCACCACACTGTGACATGGCTCATATTTAAAATCTTCTGAACTGATTATTGTAACCCAGACTAACAGACAAACTTAGTCACAGATACAAACCCAAGTCGGCCACATTCCCTCCTTTTAACGGAGTGTTTTCACTGTCTTTCTTTGAATTTGCTGAGTATGGAAGAAAAGAGATCAAATCACAATGAGAAAAAAAGAGAAATGCTGAAAAGGTAAACAAATAATAAATTTGAAGATGGCTTAATTCAGCTGTGGACAGGGAGGCATTAACCAGCACTGTGGTCTGCTAAAGAGGATACTAAAAAGACAGAGTGAGTGTGTGTGTGTGTGTGTTGGGGAGAAAAAGGAGGAGATTTTTGTCAAAGTGGGACACTGCAGATGGGACATGGCCTAAAAACAGTGTTTTTAGTGAGGATTGTGTTTGGTTTTTAAAGGGAGTCTTTAAGGGGAAGACAGAATAAGCTCCATTCATCCCTGTTAACAAAAAAATCCTCAGGCTTTTTCCTACTTGACTGTCAGGAACACAAGTGTGTCAGAAAGTCCAGTCATTTTTCTGGTCATCTTTATGCCACATAGGGAACCACATAAAACCCATCACAGATTTCAAACTTAAAAATGACTGAACTGATCTGTTACCAATTTGCTGTTAGGTGAGACGTTCTGTATGCATTTGTTGGTTCTGTGGATGCCAGTTTATAAACCTGAGTTTGAACAGTGAAGTCAGATTTATGGTTTTAAGTAAAAGCATCTTATCACATCTGAACAATTCAATTTTCTCCCTAAGAAGAAAAACAATATGACAATGGGGAAGACAATCTAGCTTCAAAGCACAAAGCTGGCAGTTTGCTTACAGCAAACCAAGTGGATGGTGTGTGTTCCAACTCAAGTTGGACACCAGCATACAAAGAAAAAGAAGCTGTCTGCACAACGACATACACAAGCCCTCCAAAAAATATACTGATGCAATGTTTGCCTAAAAGACTTTCATTCTTCAGGAGCTTACAAAATTCAGTGTGCACAGCCTCCTCTTACTGTAGTTTACCTGGCTTTGCCTCCACTGCAGCTCCCTGTGTGCTCTGCACTAATCTGATATGGCACATATTCTCACTTTCAGCACTTTGGACCAACAGCAAGCTGCTGGATGTAAAACCTGAACAGAACACTGTCTGGCACTGCAAATATTCAACTAAAATCAATTTGCCTCCAGACCCTCTGGTTCACCCAGTTGGGCCAGCATTAGGGAAATCTAATTAGAACATAGTTCTGCCAATCATCTGTACTAGTACAGTGGCCGCAAGTGCTGACACACTAACAGTTTCATAACCAATGATCACAGCTTTGCCACTAGAACACAATCAATAGCTCTGTCACATCCTCAGTATGCACCATTCTTGGAGATGCTGCCCTCTTCCATGCTGGCACCAGCTGATGAGTCATCCATGTCCTTGGTCATGTCCTCCTCTGTGTCCTCTTCTTCACCTCTGTGGCCCCGTCGCTTCCAGTGAGGCCCCAGGTTCCTGACGCACAGAATATATGCAACTGGAAACATTAACAAACAAGCTATCCCAAATTTCCAAGCTCACTCAAATTTGCATCATCTATTCAATCTTTCTGTGAATATTACAACTAGATTTTTTTGGCCCTACTTCTGGAAAAAAGGCTTCTCACCCCTTCTTTCCTCCCTTCTTGCGGGATTCTGCAGGAGTGCTGTTTTTTCCTTGCGATCGGGTGTACGGGAAGACTGATCAGACAAACCCCGTGCAGCGCAGGGAGCGAGGGATGGAGGATGAGAGAAAGAGCCGCAGAATGAGAGGATGGAACGGTTGCACACACAAGGAGGGGAAGCACTGGGAGAACAACAGCAGGGAGGGGGAGGATGCCGTGGTGGTGGTGGAGGAGACGACCAGGGTTCCTGTATACTGTCCTCTCTCAAAAAAGCTTCTCCCTTTACTTCTGAGTTGAGGTGAAATACTGATCTGCCAAAAATGATCTTTACCAGAAAAATCACCACAGGTCGTAGTTCATCTACTACCATTTTTGGCTGTTCACCGACTTTTTTATCATGATGCTCTCCAAATGTAAGTTAAACAACAGTTTTGAACAGCTTTCTCATTAGCTGCCAGTTTTTCAAACCTCAAATTAGGTAGGAGCATCGAAGCATCTGCATGACTAAGTGGGAAAGGGTGCTTCCATGAGGTGTCAGCAATAAATCAGGCAAAAAAGATAGTGTAAGACAGTGACACTATAGAACAACTTGTAAATATAACTTCCCTTTTTATTCAGTCATTCATATCATATGCAACTGCAATCGCATGAAGTCTTTTGATCTGTGAAATCACATGCAGCTAGTAAAGATTTTTTTTTTTTATTAGCCACTTCTCGGTCTGATTTTTAAATCCCGGAAGTTGTTAAAAATCATTTTCTAAACATCAACAGCAACCCTGACATACCTTAGAAGGAGAAAGAGTGAGGAAAGATTTGAAAAGGATGGACAACAAACAGGCCAGAGGGAGACGAAGCAAAAGGACAGCAACACATAGCTGCATGCAACAAACACAAACTTGCAGCAAAAACAACTCATTCACAAGCATTCACTCAAAAAATTTCCATCACCAACTTTCCATACAGTACAGAACTCTGACCAGTTTCTGTTTGAGTGCCTTTTGTTAGTTAATTATAACCAATTCTGGACTCGATCAGGAAATTTCTCATTGATATTGAATGTTGTACAAGTTCAACTGTACTGATGGATTAGAGCTGGGTATTCTGGAACTTAAAAGATATCACAAAAAACCTGTGCATTGAACATACACAGCACAGTACCTACCTCCTCCTCCTTAGGGAAGACCCTCTGGCGGAAGCTAACTGGCTTCTTGTTCTCATCCACCTCGTAGTCTTCTTCATTCATCCACTCATTGAAGGCATCAGTGTCTAAAACCCATTTGGCATGGACCTGATGGGGAGAAGGAAGGACATAGAGGTTGAGGCAACATGTTCGCCACGATCAAATGTCAGTGTGCTGGTCATCAACACTTTTAACAAACATGGTGCCTTTTAATAGCAGTACCATTAACTCCAACCACAGCCAGACCAACACATCTGTTAAATGCTGCTGGGAGCAGCACAAACAGCCACAATCAAACATAATAGTATTTGCTGTTAAAAAACAAAAACAAACACACACCTGTGCTCTTTCTTTCCTGATGTTCAATATTTAGTTTCATAAAACTACATGGGGATATTGTGTAAGTGGTGGGGGTCAATCTCTGTTATAACAGCACTGCAGTAGCCACAACAAGTGCATCTTATTATATGTAAACATTTGGAAGGCATAAAAAAAAAAACCATTCAAAATATCAAAACTGTATGGTGTGACTTCACACTGGCCGCTAATTAATTCCTTTTAAATACCAAAGAACATTTTAATGGCAAAAATGTTGCACATGCTACAAGTTCCTTCTGCACTGCTCACCTTCCAGGGTCTGTCAGTGCTGGGTGGGTCCTCCACGTCACCATCCACCTCATTGGCTGATACCCAGGTATCATAGCTAACAAAACAAAAAACAGCCATGACTCAATGATCAATATATTAATGAACCTACATGCCAAATAAACCTAGAAAAGGCACCCAAACATTATCATGTCAGGAGCCCTACAACAGAAACAGATCAGTCCACTGGACCTTACTGAAACAGACTTAGTTGCAAACAGCCCTTTACCGAGCGTGGTTATGTTATATGTTATGAAAGGAGATTATATTATTATTATTATTATATTCCAGCATTAATAAGATTTTAATTAACAGAAAAATCAAAGATTTAAGAGCTGATTTTACAGATTAAAAAAAAGTTAAAATGTGTAATAAATTCAACATTCAGATAAAATGTAAGTTTTGGAAACTGGTATTCTGTTATAAACTACTTGGAGAAATCCACTTAACGTAGTAAAAAGATGTTTAATGCTGATTCATCAAACGGTATGAGCAGAGATCCAGGTGTCTGCGAGCTTCTCTACTGTCCTCCCTACTCACCTGTCTGGGTAGAGACCCCAGTGCACCAGCACCTGTTTGTCTTTCCTCATGACAGGACGAAGCCACTCATCTGCAACACACATAAACCAAGACCAACATAAAAACACACACATACACACAATTTTTAAGAAATACTAGGCATTATATAAACAAAACATACCTAATACTACAAAATAATAAGATAATCAGTCACATATTACTTCACTTTGTTATTTAACATCTTCTTACTGTAATCAATGTTTTCATTGACTCTTTTCGCTGCTATAATAAATAAAATACAGTGGAACCTTGGATTGCGAGTATAATTCATTCTGGCAATGTGCTCGTAATCCAAAGCACTTGTATATCAAAGCAAATTTCCCCATAAGAAATAATGGAAACTCAGATTCATTCCACACCCACTTATCCATACAAAAATGATTACAGTAATACAAATACAGTATAAATTAAAAATAAAACAAATTAACCTGCACTTTACCTTTGAAAAGAATCGTGGCTGGCGTGACGGGCCATTGTTGCAGTACACATATTGACTATACGAGTGGAGCGCGAGAACCATCGGCTCAGTTGTGACATACATCACGTGAAGCTCGGCAGACAAAGCGTACGTACTACTCATATTGCGAGACCTCGCTCGTATATCAAATCAAAATTTTTTGCTAGTCTTGCAAAACACTCGCAATCCAAGGTTCCACTGTACTGATTTAGACGTTACATTTTGTGAAAGTGTGACTGAGAAAATTAAAGAAAGACAACAATCCCTGAATATTATGTAATCAAAGACAAATCACTGTCACAGAGTATTCTACCCCACCGTCTTCTAGTTGAGATGGAGAAGGGTAGATGTGGTGGGTGGCCTTCGACTTATCTTCAGTAATAGAGCCCTGGAAGCGATAGAGGGGAAACAAACAATAATAACTAAAGGGGCAGATACCAAGTCTGCTATTAGAAACAAATCTTCTCTGCTTGACTGACAAATCTTTACTCTGGCCAGCTAAAGGTCATAAGCCCGGTCTCACCTGGTGCCTTTTGATGATGTCTTTGAGCTTACTGGCCTGTTTCTGCTCGATATCCGGTGACAGGAAGACGGTGGGTCGAGTCAAGCAGTTATTCTACATGTACAGAAACATTCAGTTAAAACAAGAAACAGTATTTTATATCACACTTGTCCACTATCCATGCAGCCTGGTTTTATTTTGCAGAAGCAAAGCTACAAAAAACAATGCCGCAATTAAATTATGTGGGTCCGATCAAAAAGACTGCCTGTCAGTTAACTAAAACGAGTACACTTCTGTCTTCAAAAACCATATAAGATTATGCCTAGTTACAACTAGTTTTAAACATCTCATTGGGGTCTTTCTGCAAATACAAGATTATTTTAACCAGAGCAATCATATTTATCTAAACAATTACATCAGAAACCTCTAACGACATCCTAACTGGGAACATTCATCAATCAGCAGCTACTAGCAGTTTGTGTGTGGACTGTGTGGGTCATACCTGCACCAAGTTCTTCTCTACATTTAAGAACATTTCCACGTTCCTGTCCATTCGGGAGGGATTCTGTAGGTCGAACCGGCGCCTAGTGGAGAGAAACCAATAAAACAAACAACAGGAAGCTGCTGCACCATTCTACCACAGCAAATCACATGACAATTATGTAATTATTCAGTGATGTCATGATCAACACTGCTCAATTCAGGGTTTTAAGATACCTATTCAGGTCCTATTTGGCCTTCATACAACAACCACTAGTCTAATCCAAAGTGGAATTTGACACTGACATTTTTATCCCAATCATTCACCATCGAGCTATAGAAAGTTGTCGTTATGGCTGCACGATATTGGAAAAACATGCGATATGCGATACGGGTGTTGAATATTGCGATATCGATATTATTGCGATATTTAATATTCCCCTGAAGAAATGGTATTTTCATTATCTAATCGAAGAAATACACTTTAATGTGGCAAAATACGCAGGCTATATGTATTCTGATCGAATTAATTGTAATTCAGGCTAACTATTATGTGGTGCGAACAAACTTCACAAATACTACTGCATACCTGTTGTAACAAAAAATAAAAAGGCATTACTCTCAATCATTTTATTCACATGTAACCATGTGTACAACATGTAATTGCCAAGAGCATCTGAACCAAGAGCTTTAACAGCTTTGAAACAAAACATTGCCTTGCTTGCCTGGTTTTCTATACATATTAAATAAATAAATAAAAATATTATAAAATCTTAGAAAACATAAAGTGCCCAGACTGTAAGTAAATTTTTTTTTTTGCACTAAAAAGTCTCTCTGAAGGTGAGCTGCTTGCAGGTATACAGAGGTACTTTCTAGCTAGTTTGCTCAGGTGTGGGAAGTTGACCTGATGGAGTTGCCACCAAGTGAGAGGGTTCTCCTCAGTGTCTACTGTGGGAGATACCAGGTAGCTGTTGAGCTCTGCCTCTACGGAGTGTGATGGTACCACAGATGAAGGAGCTGGGGATGTTTTGAAGAAACTGCCTAAGGATTTTTTGGCCTTCTTTTGGATTGCTTCTGATGGATCCATGCTGTCATCTTGATTGCCTGCGTTTTGCTCCTAGAATATGAAAATATGAAAATTCTGTAAGTAAAATGTAGTTAGTAATTTGAATTTTTACTTAATCACAAATTAACATTTACCTTTGGCATAAGTGCTTCAATTTCAGACATCACTCTTGCTTTGATGTTGAGGACCTTGTCACTGCTGATGTAGCCAGCTTTGAATCTGGGATCCACAAAGGATGCCATGTCCAGAAGTTCTTGAGTAGCTGGGTTGTCATACTTTGTGTTCATGTAGTCCAGGATCTTTTTCTTTATGCACTTTGTTAAGTCACTGTCTTCGTCCTTTGCAGCAAGAAGAGAGGTGTTCATCACGTGTAGGACCGGTTTGACACATGAAACACTCACATCTCTTTCAGCAGAAAGGGCATCTGTGAACTCTTGTAGAGGCTGCAGTGCCTGGTTAATGGACTCCAGAACATCTAGGTCTTGCCAAGTGGGAACTAAATGTCTTGACTTTCTGTCTGCTGCTAAAACTTCACATATGGCCTTCTGCTGCTCAAGAACTCTCTGAATCATGTGTTGCCTGGATCCCCATCTAGTAGGACATTCTGTGATGAGTGCGTGCTCTGGGAGGTGGTGATCTTGCTGTGACTATGCGCATATGGGTCCGCTCTAGCCAATAGGAGAACAGTATCTAGGGGGGTGGATGGCTGGGTGCGTTATTAAGGTCGCGTCTGATTGGTCAAACTCAGATAAACACCAAACATGTGCAACAAACGCATAAAATACTATATAAAATTAATTTATCGCACGTCTTTGCGATACGCATATCGCACATACTATTATCGCGAAAACAATATTTTTTTCGATATATCGTGCAGCCATAGTTGTCATTATTATGTCTTAAATCATAACTTAAGGACTCAAAAAAAAAAACCTAAATCTTTTCAAGATGTATAAGTGTGAAAACGGTGCAGCAAGAGAAAAAGCCACCGAATTACAAGTCAGGACTACATAAGGTTGTAAGTCAGGGTTAATACTTGTATTTAACCAACTTACCAGCCTTGCTCACTCTTAAACTTGTAGACCGACCCCAGGATGTGACAAAGAGCACCTCCTGCCTTGAAATCCAGGAAGCACTTGGCCTGAAAACAGAAAGACATATTGGCACCGGTTCCTGTACAATCTGTATCTACCAGACCGAATCACAATGCAGATTTCGGTGCCTCATTTCAGTGCCACTTAAATGTCTGTTGATTGAAACATTTGCCGTCTGGTGCTGTGAAATGGACAATAATGGAATATGTTATTAAGAATATGTTGTAGAATTTAAGGTCATTCCCTCTTTAACACTGCTTGGAAAATCAACGCTTTTACCAACTGTCTGTTGGTGAAATTTTGTGCCTTATGTTTATTACATCTATGCGCTATTTTTAACTCAGAGGTTGCAGTGCTTCAATAAGGTTTCATTCTGTCATCACAATGCCAGAAGAATAGAATTACTGCACTTGCCCTTAAAATTATTGAATTTATGGCCTGGTTTTATGCTCCTCTTTTAAAGCATCGGTTATGGAACCATTAAGACACCAGCACAGTTTTAAAAGTATTGTTTTAGCACTGGTATCAGAAAAACCCAAACGATAGCAACCCTAGAAGATATGACATTTGTTTTACTGATAATTAAAAGTGTTAGCACCATAAAGCACAAACACCACAAAATAAGTAGTTTTAATATAAATATAAATGTGTACGTGTGTGTACTATGCTTACAGGTAGCTTGGTAAGAGCAGGATTGTTGACCCTTCGTCCAAATGCGTCCTCCTGGAACTGCAGCAGCTGGACCACCAGGCCTGCCAAGGATTTACTGGAAGGGGAGTCATTCTGAACATACTGGGACCAAACAAGAGATAAAAGTATTCATTAGATCACACCAGTGAAAATGATCAACACAATTATAATGTCAACAATTCTTTGAACAGGTTTGCAAATAGGGCTGCAACAGTTACTCTCGTTATTACTTGTTTTGTTTTTTATCAATTAAACACTCATTTTGTCTGAAAAATAGAAGAAAATTGAGAAAAAGGTCTTTTGTCCTCCCAGACCAAGGTGACATGTACAAATTCAAAGCTATTGTTTGTTATCATGTGTGACAAGAGAAACATCAAATCCAGACATTTGAGAAACTGGAAACAGCAAATATTTGAAATTTTTGCTTTAAAAAACCCAAAAGGATTACACAAATATTAAAATAGATTAAGATTAATTTGAGTCGATTAAATAATCAACATTGCCAATACAGATGCATTTAAACCGAAGAAGCCACTAAAATGTACTTTCACTTGCACCCTTAGAGAGGTCACAAGGTCAGGGTCAATAACAACAAAGTACACCAGGCTGGGTTGTTGCTGTCAGGAGGTCCCTTCCATATGGAAAAATCATGCATACATGATAACTTTTTCTAGCCTCCAGTAAATATTCACTGCTGATATGAAACTGAGCTATAACGTTGTGCAAGGAAGCAATTACAAAAGCTCTGGCTGTGAGAAAATAAAACAATCCAAACTTAAAACACACACACAGAAACACGAAAGAGCTAGTCTATTTATAACAAAGATGATATCAAGACGACCCACTTTTAGTCTTAAAACATCCAATTTAGCTGTTTTAGGTACAGCGAGTGGATATAAACAGAGATTGAGGCCAAGCCTTTGTGCTGAAGCAAAGCTTATTCCGGTTATGTTTTTGTTTATAACGTAACGTTAGCTTGTCTCCAGCATTGCAAACACAATACCTCATCTAAGTTTACTTAATTATAATAGCTGTTTGCTTCGATTCAACTGACCTAAGCGTGTCAGTGAGTTAGGATGAAAGCACAATGTGACAGAAGAGCATTCTTTGTTGGGCGAGTGCAGCCTGAACACGGTCCGCTAAGCTGCTGTGTCGACAAAACCCAACAGTGCTTACTCTCCTGCACAAAATTCAACTGGGCTTTCAAAATGCACACAGTTATTGGATGATTAACGTTAAGGTTATTCTCTGACTACAGTTGCATATGAGCGGTAATAAGATGGAGGTTCAGTCCTATTTAAAGTTGGCTAATACATGACTTAGCTCGTAGAGCCTTTCGCTTTGCCGATAAGGACGTTTTAATGTAATTTTGTGAACTGAGATATGCTGCTTGAGTGTTGAACATCTAAATAGATGCAACGTCCATCTGCCGCTCTTTGTAAACATTTTCCTGAGTGCGGTAATACTAGCCTTACTGAATGAACAGTTAGACACCTAACATAATAGCATGGCTCATATCTTATCAACTTTGTGGCATGTACTGCACGTTTGTACTAACCGTGTATGGCCCACTTACTAGCAAACAAAAGTAAATGTTTGTAGGTGCACACAAAGCCTTAGCTTAGTTTCGTGGCAGCAGCTAGCTGGAATATCAGCGCTGCATTGTGCCAGTGGGACGCGGGCCTTCATAGAAATCAATGGAGGAGCAGCTAGCTTACCTTCTTGTAGTGCTTTCCGATCCACAGCCGTACCGTCTCTAACTGGGATATCGTCTCTGAGCTTTCCCAGAATTTTGTGGACGGACCGCCGTCTTTCTTTCGTCCCACTGTGGTTCCGCCGCCGACTAGGCCACTGGCCGATCCGCTTGAACCTGTTCCTCCTGCCGTTGTCGCTGCGGTCGCCATTGCTTGTTTTGTTCGCTTCGTCTTTCTCCTCCACGGCGTCGCTCACGCTCACTGTAAAGGTTTCGAATGGTATTGCGCAGGCGCAAACGTGTTACCACTTTCAGGTCTCGCGAGTCTCTAAGTTAAGGAGATTAAGGGAAACACTGGCAAGTACCACACTATGTTATCCTATTCTTTAT